GGGGGGGGATTCCCTTCTTCCTCACCCTCCAACCCCCCCGGGGCAATGCGGTTCCCGGTGACCCCGGTGGGAGGCTGAGGGATGAAACACACACACACACACACACACTCGGTATTTGACCGTGGTACCCCACATCCATGTGCCCACCCGCGGGGCCCCCACGGCTCATCCTGCCACGCACCGGGTCCCACCAGCACCCAGGCTCGCCAAGCTGAAGGTGCAGAGGAGGAAGGCTGGGGCACACGGTGGGTTGGCGTCCTCCCCCCTCCCAGACCCCAAAATTCCAGCCTGGCCCCTCGCCCTCACCGCAGCCCCGCCAGGCGCTGCCCACCCAAGCAGCACATCACAGCCCAGCGTGTAAAAAGTCGCTTCTCCCACCGCCAACACGCTAAAATGAGAGGGATGAGGCTCTCCCATCCCTGGGAGGGTTGGGGGGTACCAGCTCCCACCAGGTGTTGGAAACATCAGCAACACAAGATGGTTCGGATGAGTCCTGGACACTGTTTAGGAGGGAGGTGCCGGGAGGGTCTCGCATGACCAAGCCGGAGCTCCAGGCACGGTCTCTGAACCACTCGTGCCCAAAAAGCACCAAAGGCGCAGGGCAGGCAGGAGCAGAGCCGTGCCCTGGCTCCCGGCCCAGCCGGGCACAAGCCCCAGTTCAGGGTTGACTGTGGTCCCCCAAATGCCGCTTGTGAAGGAGGGAACGGCGCTTGCCAGCGGGAAACGAGCACTGAACATACTCCGCTCTTCTTTCAAAAAGAAAATACAGTTGTAACAAGACCTTGGATAAAGGCCCAGAGGATCCCAAAACACCACCCGTGCTCCCCCAGGATTAGGTAGAAAGACGCTTCCAGTTGGTTGACTTCAATTACTCATACAAAAAAAAAAAAAAAAAAAAAAAAAAAAAAAAAAAAAAAAAAATTGTGAGATAAAGAAACCCCCTTCTTCCAGACCGCCCCACCGATGCTCGGTTTACAGCTGTTATTTATTTGCTCATTTGTCAAACAGCCATCAGTACAGTCACGCTCCGTTGTAGCAGCACAGCATTCCAGTTAAGGAGGCAGTAAAGGTTTAGGTACCACTTTTCTTTCCGAACTACATAAAATTTACCTTTTTAAAGCAAATAAAGAAATGGTGCTACACCAAATCCTGCTCATACACTGCCATTCAGCGTGTTCGTTGGAACAGCAGACACAAGTTACACCAGTGACACGCAGGTGGTTACGGACTCCCTCGTGGCATTACTTCCCAACATGCACTAGGGAGAGGGGGAGAAACTGGAACCAAAATTGTTTAAATCTTTCGTTAGTTTCAGCTGCAAAACATTTGTTTAAAAATGTCTTGTACGTGAGCAGATCCGCAGTATGCAGCCGAGACCAAGAAACAAGGAAGAAAATATGATTAGGAGGAAGATGCATTAAAGACGCAGATGCCAAGCCCGCAAGGCTGGGTCCTACCACCATTCACCCGCATCTCTCTCATTTAAAGTCACGGAGCTGGAGGACGGGATGTGCAGGAAGGGGGTGACTGACTCACTGAAAAATCTGCATTTATTTTCCCCCAAAGCTCATCCCGTTCATCCACTTCGGCACACTATTCCCCATGAGGAAAGCAGCCTGAGGGGCAGCTCCCTCCCTGCAGTTTTCAAGCTGGCTGCAGACTGGGGTCACACAGAACTACTGCGAGAACAGCAACGGCTTTTAAGCCCCATGGAGCAACCAAGACAAAGCAACGTGCCATGCTAACGTGGTTTCCCAAGGGGTCTGAGATCTGAGCCCTGTTTAATCTGGCAATACGTCGACACCCTCACCGTTTATAACATCACCGCTGTGGCCTTTCTAGCGGAGAGGCTGGACCAGGCGGGGGCTGCAGGGTGGGTGATCAACCCCAGCAGCACGCAGCATCTGCTGTGAGCCAGGCCCGCAAGCTGGAGTCTCCCAGGCTCACAAGCCCAGCACGGCTACTGCCAGTGCTCACCGCAACAGTTGCTCCCTCGCTGGGGAACAGTGCCCAGCTAAGAAATGCTCCTTTGCAACATTACTCACAGCAAGGTACAAAGCAGCTGCTCTGGCTACCGGCAACAAGGCATCTGTTGGAGGAGTCTCATCGCTGCTCAGCTGTTAGACACGCAGTTAGTCACTAGGTAAGTGGTTTCTTCTCAGGATTTTGAACCAGCAGACAAATCCCTTCTTCGTTTGTGGGGTACTAATATGAGTAACATACAGATCACACTTATAGCAGTGAGCAGCTACATGCAAACAGGCTTAAGTTAAGAGTGGAAGGGTATAAGCAACAGTGCAATCTCTAAGCCAGCATGCTGCCTGGAAAAGTTACTGCAGTCCACGACAAGGAATGTCAGAGAGAAGAGGAAAGCTGGACAGTCCACGTGTGCCGTTCCCAGAGCCAGGTCACTCTGCGTATTTCACAAACTAAGCCCTGAACTGGCGGTGGCAGAGCAGGTCTGTCACTGAGAACTGGTTTCAGTGGAGCCAGAAGCAACAGACTCAGAAGAGTTTAAGTAGCAGCATGGAAAAAAAGTTCAAATCTTCAGCTGGCAATGTAGTTACTGCATTTTGTCTCTGTTTTAAATGAAGACATCTTGGGCCCTAGTCCCAGCGTCTGCATTTGCATCAGGCTCCTACAAAAATAACAGGAGCCTTTTCCTAGACCTCAGGGTTTGACCCATCCCCACCCCAGACTCTGAGCCACATGCCAACACTTGTAAAATGATCTGCATGAGACACATGTGACAGTTGGAGAGGCAGCAATAGAAGGATAAATATTCTTCATCATAATATAAATATGCTGTAGAAGATCTCAACAAGGGCAAAGTGCTTTTTTTCTTAATTAAAACAAAATAAAAACCTAAATATGACTTTCTCAACCACAACAGAAGGTTCAACTGCTAAAATATCTGAATAGTCTAAATTACACTTAAACTGACATTAAAGTGATCCAGGCAGAGTGCTCAGTCCTTCGGGACTCGGAAGTTATCCTTCTCTTTTCTGATGGCCCCCATTGTTCGGATGGGGTCAGTCTCCCCAGCGTGCT